TGACGCAGAAGCATGCAGACACATCCAGAAATTGTGAGAGACCACCGCCCAGGAATATCGCTGCTGCTTCGGCCCCACTGGAGAAGCATGTTGGCAGAAATGCTCAGTCTTCTGTAGACCCTACATCTGGTGCGTGAAATCCACAAAAACAAACATGACTAATGACCATAAAAGCATTGGTATCCACCATAATGTTGATTATTGGTAAGGATTGCTGCAGTTGGAATATTTACAAGATTTTTTTTTTCTGCTTCTGGCCGAAAAGGTTTTTCTGAGCCATGTATGGAGGAGACTCAGTGTAACTTCAGACCATCCACTTCTCCTCTTACCCACTCCTCTCCAAGTCAGACCTCTGTTCCCAGTGCAGACGGGTATTGTGTCACACATTGTTTCTACAAAATGAATGCTTTTAATGTTTATTGTTGTTTGGTAATGCTGTTAGCATCACCTCATTTTAAATTTAGCTCAAGTCTTCAAATGTCTACCCTGTTCTCTTGTGTATGTCATTCATCTTTTTATTATTTAGTCAAAACTCATCACTACTGACACTTAACAGATATCTTTATTACTAGCCATTATTCATTTGTTACTTTATCCATGTTGTCTTGCCTTCCCAGTATGTTGTCACCACCTTCATCTGCCGGACGTCTCGCAAACAGACATCCTGGTTACGACCTTTCTCCTCAGGGTAACTGCTCCAGCCCTAGTCTCAGCAGACTCACCTACATCTCACTGAATGATGGCACTGTTGTACCTACACCTGAGAAACCAAAGGTACACCATGAAAAAGTCAATTGTGCCTGACTTGGGTTGTAACGGCATTGAAAATTTGATCCAGCTTAAATACATGAAATGATTCATTTAGATTTTTGTTCCTGGTTGTGCTTTTGGTGAAAAGAGAGTAGTACTGTATTTATCTTAATTTTTGTGTATGTTTTTGTGTTTTGTTTTGTTTTTTCCTGTGCTGGGCCGTTTGCGCTCAACAGAGTAATTCTAGCATGGCACTGAGCACCACCATCATCAGATTCAGTCCTACCCCACCTGTGGATCCAGATGCACAGTCTTGTATGGAGATTCCAGGCCTTCCCAAAAGCCTCGATCAGGTGCAGACACAGCATTCCAGAAGTCTAGACCCACTCCCACCCCGGCCACATAAAAGCCCAGAGCCCTCACGTAGTGGTTCTGCTTTGAGCTGCACCCGCAGCCAGAGTGAATGTAACTACCACTGTCCTGGGAACAGAAGCGGTGACATTTCCACCAGCTGCAGGAACCACAAGCACCTCTCTGAGTCTAATG